TCCTTCTCCTTCTCCTTCTCCTTCTCCTTCTCCTTCTCCTTCTCCTCCTCCTCCTCCCTCCTCCTCCTCCTCCTCCTCCTCCTCCTCCTTCTTCTTCTTCTTCTTCTTTTATAACACATGGAATCCAATTAGTGCTGCCCATATGAGCATGAATGTGAGGCCATCCACTGAAGCATAGGCAACATGCCAGTGACCACTTCCCACAAGGAAAGATGACTCACATCCTCAGCAGCCATCAACTTCCAATTAGTCCCCAGCTTGGGGCATGACCTTGGCAGCCCCTTCCCTCCCTGCTCAAACTTTTAAAAGGCTTGATAGTATGCAGGTTGCCCAACTGCAGTGTTTGTGAGTACACATTGAAGAGGTAGTGGGTTTCCTTCTGATACTTTCATTGATGCTTCTATCACATTCCTGACACATTTATTTCCCCCTTGAGAGGTCTTGCTGGGAGCCCCCTGGGCAGGAAGCTAGCATTTGCTTGACCTAATTTCCACACACTGACACTGGAACCTCTGTCTCTTGTTTTAATTTTCTTTGTTATCAAGTTCTTCCCTCCCTGAGGGCTCCCTTGTCATCTCCCCACCCAGTCTCTTTGGTCACATGGATGTCTTGTGACCCTGGTGGCAGAGCCTGTTTACCTAACGCTCATCAAAATTCACGGGCTTGAAAAGTCATAATTAGAATCAGAACTGAAATATAGACCCTGTGCATTTCTCTCCTCCCCTGGAAGAGATTGCCTGGCATCAGCAATAACCCTGCACATCTCTCCAGGTAGAGTTAATATTTGATCAACTTGGCGGGGCAGTTACTCTTTATTTCCGAGCAAGCTGTCATTAGTCACCTCACCACAGCTGTGACATTAACTCTAAATACATGGGGTATGTGTCTCTGAAATCTATGGCTGTATTGATGCAGCAAGTAGGGGAACTGAAGCTTGCCCACCCTTCCTTCCCCATGCCACTCAAATTTCATGTGTGCACATGAGTGACTGGTACCATGCCGGGTTCCCAGATGAGCGGATCAGAGAGCAAAGCCCTGTCTTTACAAAGTGCTTCTTGGTTTGAAGAGGCTCTTTGCTAGACATGATGGTGACATCAGATACCAAATAGAACTTTCTAGAAACCTATGTGGTTCAGTTTCCTGAGAAGTTCAGCAGACCTGCTCCATGAGGGCCAGATGGTGAATTCTTCAGTCCTTTGGAAGCACTAAAGTGTAAGATATTAAAGATATTAAACTTGGTGTGGTGTGTGTGTGGGGGGGGGGCAGAGGTTGGTGTCAAGTGTCTTTTTTGATCAAGTGAAGTGATCAAGGAAGACTCTACTTTTTTTTAATGCAGGATCTCTCCCTACACCTGGAGCTCATAGATTCAGTTCAACTGGGCAGTGAGCTCCAAGAGCTGCCTGTGTCCACCACCAACTAGTGCAAGGGTTACAGACAGACAGTGAACCTGGCCTTTATGTGTGCGCTAGGGTTTCTAGCTCAGCTCTTCATGCTTGCATGGAAAGGCACCTCATGACTAGCCATCTCCCCAGCCCCTTTGGCTGTTTCTACAGTGCTTTATCCTGAATCTGTCCTTATGTTCACAGAGTGACACAGTGGGGTGTCCAGCACAGAGACTGGAGGCCAGCAGGGTGGAGAAGTGCCTCTTCCTGCTGACACACAGCTCACACTTATCTCCCATCTCTGTTATGACAGGAAACATAATGATTTCAACACACAGGGTGACAGTTTCTTCTGAACATTATAGCCAGCGTGGAAAGGCCCAACATTAAGAATGTCCCAAAACAAAATAGTCAAACAATCTGCTCAGGAGTCCAGAAAGAAGTTCTGACTCCTTGGGGATCCCGATCCAAGACTTACTTCAGCCCTCTGAGGGGAGGTAATGGGAGAGACAGCACCCTGGAGTCCCCTCTGTCCTGTAAGCCTGAGCCTGGGGTGGCCCCCAGCTGGCTCAAGGCTCATACCTCTGCCTGTGTTTCTCTTGCAGAGACATCAAGCCAGACAACATCCTGCTGGACGAGCATGGTGAGTCTTCCTTGGTCCCCCTTGGGAAGCATGGTCCCCCTTCCCCAGGGCCCCAATGCAGCCCTGGTCATGGAAGTCGAATGAGGGGTGGTGGGGGAGTGGATGATAGGTGCTGGAGAAAACACTTACTCTGTCCCAGTCCTGACAGTGATGTGTCAGTTTCTGGGCAATGTCCTGTCCTGGTAAGTTGAGCTGAACTATTTTCAGGCATCACCTCTGAAATCATTGCTGTTTGTATCCTGGTTTGAGGACACCAGGGCACATTGAGGCCCAGAGAGCGTGAGAGTATAGTAATGCCCTAGTCCTGTGTGGGGGTGCAGAAGGTCTGAGGGCAGGCATGTGAGGTGCTGGAAGCAGTACTCCTCCTTCTGTGCCCCCTTTCTCTATTCAGGCACACCCAAGGTCAGGTCATAGAAGCAGGAGAAATGAAGCTGAAAAGCGGTCCCAGCACCTCTGCAGGGTTCCCAGGGAGGCGGAGCCTTCAGGGCAGAGAGGCCCACATAGTTGGTGCTGAGCAGTGACCACTGATACCACGCTGATGGAGAGGACCTCTATGTTCAAACTGTGGACAGCTGTCATGAGGCAGAATCCAGGCAGGACCACCAACCAATTCAATGGAGCGCTTAGCCCTTTCATTCATGAGAACTGCTTTAGCATGCCAGTAGGGAAGCCCAGGGCCATTGATTGTTCCATAGATCTGGTGTGATCCATGCATGTGATCCATGCATGTGATGCCATGCACAGTCTTTCCCGAAAGCTGCGGCACAGAAGGACCTAGGCAGGCAAGCTGTGGTTCCAGCCCTGTGGGCCTCACAGTGTTGTGTGGATCGGATAAGCTACTGAAAGCCAGGGGGCATGAGTAGGAGGGCCAAGGGGAGTCACTACAGGAAAGGCGGATGAGGATGGCAGTGGATGAGGATGCAATAGGAAGCACTCCAGGGAACAGCGGGGGGCGGGAGGGGAGCTTTATCTCCCAGTCCTACCTGAAGGGGATCAAGTCTCTCAGGGCCTCATTCCTCCATTCAATGATTTGGGGTTCTTCATTTTGAAGAACATGAGAGCCATTGAAGAATAAATACCAAGTGGGCTTAGAGAGATGCCAGAGCTACTGCATGGGAAATGGACCAACAGGAACAGATTAGCCCCATGGGACCCCCAACATGAGCAGCAAGGGAGCCTGTCCATCAGAGCCTGACACACGGACTGCATGGGGCTGCTGTAACTCTGCATAGGGGTCTGGAAGCTTTACTCTTAGACTTCTGAGATGGTCTTCGGATACAGACACCATCTTCTCCCTGAGCCCTCACTAATCACTGTGGATTACTGTGTCCTGGTCTCAGGGTGACACCAGGCAGATTGCATTAGACCCACCTCACTGGCCTCATTTTTACCTCATGAAATGTCAAATCTCCAAATCCACTTGGTCTTCAACTCCAGGGGTCTGTGGTTTAGCATATGAACTTTGGGGACACCATTCAGCTCATCACATCAGACAAGCAATGGGGACGGGAGCCCTGTGTGCCAGCAGGTCTGCCTTCAGTCACTGGCTCCATCGTTCTTAGAGGCTGCAGGTGCTTGGGCTGAGGGCTCCATTTAACTCCCAGGATTCATGGGAAATTTCCTCGGGACTCTTGGTTCCCACAATTAACTCAGGCCAGTGACAAGCCAAGATCTCTCCAGTCAAAGGAGAGGTATAATGTGCAAGGTTCCCAGGATACTGTGTGGATCTAGAAGAAGCCAAGAGGGATTAGGAGGAGGCTTTGATGGACAACTTTACTACTTCTACCCAAAGCTCTGGATTTAGTTTTCAAGCCTGTATCTGCATATAAAAACCACCCAAGGGAGATGGGGAGATGGCTCCAGAGATAAAGCTCTTGCCAGGCGAAAACAGGAGTTCTATGCTCAGTACCCACGTAAAAATTTGAGGAGAGGTGGTGCACACTTGCCATCACACTTGCACAGTGAGCTGGAGACAGGTGGACCCCTGGGGCTTCCTAGCCAGCCAGCCTAGTCTAGTAGGTAACTAGGTGCCCGTGTCTGTGTATCAAAAACACAAGGTGGATGGTGTCTAAGCAGAAAGCCCTGATGAACAGCAAGCCCTGAGGGTTTCTTCTGGCCTCTACACTCATGCATATGCACATGCATGCACACCTGTGCATATATGTTCACCTGCACATGTATGACCACACCACACACACACACACACACACACACACACACACACACACACATACACACACGAAGGTTCATGTCTCCACAGGTGACTAAGGGTTTCCTGTGACCTCATAGCAAATGGAAGTACCTGGGTCCTGAAGCCTTGGAAACAGGCAATGATGTTCCTCTCAACTCCACAGGGCATGTCACACCTTTGCTAGACATTGGAGCAGGAATTTAATTCTCGGTATCTTTGATTATTTATCTCATGAGTTTTTATGACTATTACATCTTCTAAAGCTTTTGGTTGAGTATGAACGTAACCAGGGGCAGAAAGTAACCTTCATATTCCTAAGTGGGTCATCACATGGCACATTCGGACAGCACCCACCCACCCCTTTTGAAAACCACATTAGGAAGCAATTTATGGAACAGGGAACCCTGTGTTGCTATTCGTCTCATTAGGTGCCACCTTGGAGATGAGAGCTGCATTTCGATGAGATTTAAAAAATCAGTAGATATCCACATGAATATTTTATTGATGATGCTCAGATCTGCTCATTCCACAAAATCCAAAGCTCCCAGGCAAGCTTCCCTGCTCCCTCCTGGTCTCATAGGGTAGGCTTCGGTCTTAGGATAGAGCTGAGATTTGGAGTTTGAATCAGCAGCCATATAGAACAACCATGAAGGTTGGAGAACAGAGCTAAAGGAAGACAGGCATTTGGCAAGAAAAGGTGACGGGAACCTTGCTTAGTGACTAAGAGCTCCTAGCAGTGTGGACCTGGCAGGTATGGAGCAAAGAGGAAGAGGTGTGCCCGTGTTCGATTGCACAGTCAAGCTGGGTATCTACCACATCATTTTAGAAGCATAACCAAGGAGCAGTCAGCTGGCTCACAGGTTTGGAAATCGAAGTGCGGCAGGCTAGGCTGGGATAGCCTTGCTACTAACAAAGTCCCGCTGGGTTGGAGGCCACTCTAATAAAAGCAGCTGGTTGCTTCTAGGACTAAAGCTCTCTGATGATCAGCTGACCCACAATGGCCTTGGGTGCCGACTCCCTGGGTGACTCAGCTCTGCTTCTCTAGCTCAGGGAGGGCTCATTCCCCATGGCCCTCTCATGGCTGTTTCAGAAGCAAGGACAAGATGAGCTGAGCCCAGGCATGCCCAGCTCACTATCTCAGTGGACACCATTTCTATAAATAGCTTGGGTTTGACACATGCCCCATGCACAGAGGCAGCCTGCAGCAGATGGGTTCTCTTAAAAGCCCTGCATTACTTCTTCACAACTATGTGATGGGAAGAAGCCAAATTCCACAGAATAGAAGGCACTATCAGGCAAAGGCATGCTTCAAAAACAATCTTCTTTCCCCAGGAGCTGAACGAAAGCTTTGATAAGCTTGTGCGTGGATTTTGATTGGCTTTCTTTCTTTCCTGCGGTAAATAGTTGTGATCTCCATACAGACAAGTGGCTAGAACACATGAGCTATGTGCAGTGCCCAAGATAGCAGATCTGTGTGGCAGATCAACAGCCACCCTCCCACCCTACAGCCTATGCAGAGAGCCCAAAAGCACAGCTATTTTTAGCAGTGAGCATAGAGGAGCAGGGGCAGCCAGAGCCATGGGCAAGGCTGCCGCTGCCTCTGGTTCTTATCTCTCCGGGCTCCCAGTTGCTTCATCTAAACAGCACCACTGAGCTCTGTCCTGGGCATGGTGTGGCTCCTGAGAGGCAGCTGGGGTGAGGAAGATACTCAGGAGTAGCAGGCCCCAAATTGCAACTGGATGAGTGTGGAAGGAGGTGGCCACGGGTGCCGTCCCTTCCATTCTAACCCCTGGCCTATTCCTCCTCTCTGTGTCTCTGCGCCTCTCCCAAGGGTTCCCTGGAGCTCAGTGCTCACCACCATGGGTTCCAGAGGTAGGCCTAGAAGGATCCATGTTACAAACCCATGGATGAGACCACTGTCAACCTCTGGGAGTGCTGGGCTGTCTCTACAAGCGCAACGAAGACAGGCGACCGGATGTGCTTGCTGGGCCTGGTGCTAAGTTACTCAGTCACCTCTCAGTAAGTCATTTCTTTTCCAAGCCAGGCCCTGGAAATGGAAATGAACAAGGCAGGATTTCTGGACTCAAAAAAAAAAAAAAAAAAGAATGAGGTGAAGGAAGTTGGGATGACAATGGAGGAGAACATGGGCGTCCATAAGAGGGTCCTAGTCCAGGCTCTACTGGAGTGAATAGACTGCTCCACCTTCAATTCATGTGGCCAGATGCTGGTCATTATATTTAAGGTGAGGACTTTCAAAGGTGATTGGGTTTGGATGACGTCATGGAGATAACACCTGTGGTGGTTTGAGTGAAAATGGCCCTCATAGACTCGTATATTTGAATGCTTAGTCACCAGGGAGTGGCACTATGACAAAGATTAGGAGGCGTGGCCTTGTTGGAGGAAGGGTGTCACTGGAGGTGGGCTCTGGGGTTTCAGAAGCCCATGCCAGACCCGGTTCATCTCTCTCTGTCTGTGGATCAGGACGTAGCGCTTAGCTACTTCTCCAAGATCACACCTGCCCTCCTGCTACCTACCGTGTCCCCGGCCATGACGACAATGGACTAAGTCTCTGAGACTGTCAACAAGTCCCCAGTTGAATGCTTTCTCTTATGAGAGTCTCCATGGTCATGGTGTCTCTTCCCAGCAACGGAACACTGACAAAGACAACACCCTACAATGGGGCTGGTGTCCATACAGGGGGCTGAAGGAACTAGAGTTCTCTCTGCGTCCACCCAAAGCAAGCAGGGAACTAGCTTTAAATCAAGAAAGGGACTGTGTTTAGCCTGCTCCTGTACTATAATGTAATCCC